CCCCCCCCCCCCCCCCCCTAGGCTCTCATCCCTCCCATCCGACGCGATCACGATAGGCTCTCATCCCTCCCCATCCGACGCGATCGCTGTTCACAACTTCGCAGACATTCTCTCAGCCTGTTGAGAGCAGTTCCGAGGATATATGCATGCGGGATAATTAATCCATACTCATTTACAATTGGCAGCGAGCTAGCCAGGACCAGTCAGTACATAGGTAATTATACCCACACCATCCAGCCAGCCATCAGGGCAACCCATAGCAAAGGCGCGCCCGAAAGCAGCATGGGCAAGGGCTGCCTTGGGCTGCTGCTCCTGCTGGCGCCATCAGGAAACACATTTCCGTTCCTCCTTGTATCGGACGGCAGCGAGATGTCTTCGATGCAAACGTACGTGGGCCGACTATAATATTTCTCTTTTGGAAGCCTGCCTACCTGCCACAGTTGGTCGAAATCGTTGCAGCTAAAGTTGGAGCCTGGCTGGCCGATGACGGAAAAGTTTCCTGTGACGTAGGGTGCGTTGCCTGCCCCGGATAGTGTATCTGCAGCCGCTTTGAAGCCTCGGCTGGATGGTTCGGTTTGGGCGCCAGCAGCTGGGCACGAAAGCGAAAGAAGGAGACAAAAGATAACAGGGGGCGCCCTACAAAAACTCCTCGTCAATCCTGGCCTCAATTTCGACTACTCTTATGGGCCCCTTTGGCCAGCTCCACCGTTTGAGATGTGCATCTTTCTGCTCAATTGTGATAACCGACAAATTCGCGCCGTCGGACACGGACGGCAGTAGCTTGACCGAGGTCAGCCTACTGTTGTCCCGAACCCCGAGGCGTTCCAGTTTCCTGTGGGGCACCATCAGGCTCGTTAGGTTCGTGTTCTTGACCAGGAGCCAGTCGCCCGAGAGGTGCATCTGTCGGACGCCCACGATGCCGCTGTAAAGACGCAGTTCCGAGATGACCTGGGGCTCGGTGCTGCCGGACCCGAGTTCCAGCGTAATGTCCTGCTGCGGGTAGACGGGTTTGTCGATCCAGAGCCATTGACCAACCGAGACGTCTAGCAGGTCCGTCCAGGCGAGGGAGAAGTGCGCCACGTTGGGCAGGTAGTTGGAGTTCAGGTCGGGATGGAGCCTGTTGACTCTCTTGCCCCTGTAGTCGACGGCGCCACTAATGCGCGCGCGGCCGTAGAAGCTGTCGATGGAGGCCGCGCCGCCCAAGGTCACTGGCGCGGGGGGG